CCTGGGGGCTGACACACCCAGCCACGGAGTGCAGCCCCTTCCGCACTGACCCGCAGGGCATCCCCATCGCCCCCTGCGGGGCCATTGCCAACAGCCTCTTCAATGACGCCTTCACCCTCTACCACGTTATCAATGGCTCCTTCTACCCTGTGCCCCTGGACAAAAGGGGCATCTCCTGGTGGACCGACTCCAACGTGAAGTTCAGCAATCCAGAACCGGTCGATGGCACCCTGGAGAATGCCTTCAAGAACACAACCAAGCCCCCCAATTGGCCCCGTGCTGCCTACCAGCTGGACCCAGACAACCCCAACAACACCGGTTTTATCAACGAGGACTTCATCGTGTGGATGCGTACTGCTGCCTTGCCCACGTTCCGCAAGCTCTACCGCCGTGTGCATGAAGGCAACTTCTCCTCTGGCCTGCCCCAAGGCACCTACTGCCTCAACATCACCTACAACTACCCTGTCCTCTCCTTCCAGGGCACAAAGAAGGTCATCTTCAGCACTGTTTCCTGGATGGGTGGCAAGAACCCCTTCCTGGGCATTGTCTATCTGGTCTTTGGCTCTGCCTGCATCCTCACTGGCTTTGTCATGCTGGCTGTTCATATCAAGTACCAGAAACAAAATCAGATGGATGTGGAATAGAGAGTCAGAGTCCAAATGCCACCAAACTTTGAGCTCCAGATGCAAACTTTGCTGCTAGCATCTGGGCCTTATCTTTCTTTTTCAGTGGTATCAGTCTGATTTCAGTGGGTTTACTGCCAACTCCCACTAGTGTAAGTGAGAGGAAACTTGGACCTTCAGTGTCCGTAGTAGGCTGGATGAAAACCTGGTTTCCTTGCCACAATGGAGAGTTCAACGCTGCTTAAATTCTACAGCTTATTTTAAACTGAGTGATAAGCCCTTCACTTTGTCTATATATCTGTGCACCTAAAGAATCACTGTCAGATTTTCTTTTTGCCTATACACAATTACCAATATTTCTAATTACACCTCAGACTTTGTTTTTTACTTTTTTAGAAGACTGGGATCATTTCAATCTGTCTCACTTTCAATCCGTCTCACTTTCTACACTATTTTCCTCTATCTGGATTAACTTCTGTTTTTCTAATCTTTTTTTTTAGTAATGGAAGTGAAGCTCACTAGTCTCTGTCTATGGATAGATTTTAAAGACAATGCACTGCAGAGTTTGCAATCCAACAGCAAATCATTGTCCTAATGCATGGTAATCTAAATATGCATCTGACTAGAATTTAACACTATTTCTGTTTAGTTCTAACAAGACTTTTACAGATTCCATTTTTGGAGACTAAGTTATTTGTGCCTTTTTCTTTACACTGGTAAAAGGGACATTTGGTAATATCATAGCAAGACCAAAGATCAATAAGAGACAGTGTTCACAATGATGAGTTCTATCATGCTGCTTGAGCCCAACGTGTAAAACACTTTCATAAAGAAGCATCACTCTGCTGGTGGTTGATTTGGCAGCTGGTAGCTGCTTATGGCTAACAATCCAATTGTCAACTGTTTTAATTTCAAGAATGCTTTTTTTCTTTGAAGAGGAGGATTATATACTAGTCCTTCACTAAAATGGAAAAAAAATTGACCTGAAACTGTCCAAAACAATAAACTTTAAAGGTTGATGTTAATCCTTAGCGAGAGACTATCATGTTAGATGCTAGATGTAAGTGGTAACTGTGATCCAAAACCATTTTTCTTCCCTCATTCCTTCTCACTTGGGCTCATGCTGATAGCTGCAGAGAGAGTAGAGGCTTCTTTCTACACAATGACTTTACTTATAAGCATCTTCTGGACACAGCTGACTAATGTTGATACAGTCCACGTAACTTCACTCATCGAGAAAAGGATCCTTTTTCTGTTATAGATTTATCTTCTATTTTAAAAGGATGGGAAGATCTTGCCTTGTCCATATGTTCTTTTTCTAACAGATATTGCTAAGAATGTCATTAAATAACCTTGAGACTAGAAACACTTTACATGGCAATAAAATCAAGTCGTCCAACTTACTTAGTTTGTGTCCAAAAATAGCGACTCCAGTGCCTAGAAAGACTAAGCAAGGAGAATAGTCTTAAGTCCTCAAACATGTATTTTCCTGAATGTTTATATTTTGTTTCCTGTGAAGGTTTTTTTTTTAACCTCTTAAAAAGTTGAGTTGACAAGTTAGTGATGGTAGGTAGCTTTGGGAACCATCACTTGATAGTGGTTGCTTATGAGATGATTTCTTATTAGATGTCTGAATGTCTGTGGCATGTGATGATGTCTAATTCACAATGTAACTGCTCCCCTTGTCACATCCATGTATATTTTGAAGTCTTTTGGGCAAGTGTGGGATCTCTTTTTAATTTTTCAAATTGGGTGAATCTTACTCCATAAAAGTTTCTTGAAACAGATTTATAAATGTGGGCTTATTACTACTTTAGAAGCAGTGTCTTTTATACCAGTGCTGTGAACTATATGTCAGCTGAGACCTGAAAAGTCAGGTAAAACCTTGAACAAATTACTTCAACTCAAAGCATTTTCAAAGAAGTAAAAGAACACAAGTAATTGTCTAAGAAATGGCCTTGCATATTAAATGAACTTTTTCCCCAAGCTCACAGTGGAATTGGGGTCTGTGGAATGCTGCAAATGCAAGAAAAAGTTTTCATACAAAGATAATAGCAGTGTGTACAGTGAGCATATGAACCAAATTCTGCTCTGTTAGACCCATGCAAATACACTGAGGTTGCATCGGTGTAAATTAGGACAGACCTTGCCCTTTCTGCTGTTAACATTATTCCTGCTAACTATTTTTTTTACATATAGATTTGCCCGGCAGTCTGATCCATGTGGGAAGTAGACTGTAGAATGCAAATATATGTAACTTCATTATTAGTTTATATTCACTGCTAGGAATGTTAGCTCTCCATATTGTGAAATGGGTTACGTGCCCCACAAACCGGTAATGCTGCTAGTTCTGCTAGTATCTCTTAAGCTTAATAATGGATGTGGATCTTCTGGAAGGCCTCTTGGAGTGGAAAGGGCAAGCTCAACTTCAGCAGTGTAGCTCTTTTTATGGGAAAAAAAACCCAACTGTTAACTACCTAAACCTGTTGTAGTTCATGTCTACCAAAAACATTCACAAAGTGCAGGCCAATTATGCAAATAGCCTTGAGAGATGGTGACTAGATTATGCATGTGGATTACATGAAAGAAGACTTCACTGTAGACTCGGGGCATGATTTTTTTTTTTTACCCTGATGTGCATAACTAAATCCATAGAGTTCTACTCTGGTATAACCAACATAAACAAGAGGAGAATCAGAACCTTACTGACTGATGAGAGGCTATTCTTCAAAGTTTTCTGTAGTTACTAATTGTCCATATTTTGTTTCATCTGTATAGAAGACTTCTTCACCACAGTGCATGTGGTTTTTTACTCCTATATTTATATATCTTTCGCAGGAGTTTAATTGCAGAGAGAGTAAAAACATACTTTTTTTTCCTATTGCCACCTGATGGAACCCTTCTAAAGGAACTGGGAATGACCCTCCTTTCTCCTTTTCCTAGTCCATTTTGATATCTTTATAACCAATAGATGAATCAGGTAAACTTCTCATTTCCCTGTGAAGTCATGGTCAACAGTTTGACAATGTGAATGAATACCCATTAGTAAGAACTCCATTCACTTTCAAAACTTATTTAAGCTAAAAGGTGTTTATGGGGAGAGTGTCTATAATTTTATTCATAGATTGCTTGAAGGCAGTAAAGGTCCCAATGACTTAAAAAAAGAAAACCAAGATTACTTCTTCTATACAATAGTCAGCAGCAAATGAACTTGTAAAGAATCTTTATGACAGTTTCATTGGGTGGTGGGTGAACGGTTTTGTTCAAAGTTCATAGTTACCATGACGTACAATAAAAGGACAATTAAATAAAGTTTACATATATCTCAGAATCCAGTAAGACTCTTCTTCTGTAGCAATGTCAATTTTTATATTTAATTATTAAGCCAGCCACACTGATAAGTCAGGAAGAGAGAGTCTGGGTGAGCCTGATTGTCCCTTAAGATTGAGAAATTGCAAGTGCAAAATTGTGCCCAAAGTTACTTTGTAAGTGCAAGAAAGGTAATCAGGATTTTTGAAACTCAACTGATCTAAACTATAGGATAGTATATAAGAGGCGTATTGGATAGCTGAATGATCATGTTAGAATCCACAGTTGGGGAAGCATTTCATTGGCTTTGTGAAGTGACTAATAAGACTTCTCTCACCACCTCTCCAGAAAACTAGCCAGGACAGCTATATTTCCATTTATGTAAGATATCCTACTTAATCAAATGTCAACTTTTTAATCTTCCAGTATAAAAGTTACATAGTAAATGACAATAGCTATGGCAGTATCATGTAGTAAGTGTCTTCATCCTAAAAATGTGCTCTTTATTACAGAGCAGATTATTCAGATGTTAATAGAAGGAAAAAACATCAATACTAACAGCCATGAATCAGGGTAGTTGCTGTCTGAGATATAACATTAGAATATATTTGGGAAGATACGTTTGAGCTATGTGCAATTCTAGCAAGCTCTAACTATTGGATAGAGTTACACTAGGCCAACTCGAATAATTCATTTTACTTGGAATTTTGGTTGATATTCACCATTCTTTACTTCCTGTGCTTAACTACTATACTATGTTGTGAACTGTTAAACCATTACTGCATTTCACTGTAGCATTTCAGTACAGGCAGTCCCCGACTTACGCGGATCCGACTTATGTCAGTTTCAGCAGCGGCTGAATCTGGACGCCAGTTCCGACTTACATACAGATTCAACTTAAGAACAAACCTACAGTCCCTATCTTGTACGTAACCTGGGGACTGCCTGTAGTTGGGTAAAATGATCTAGATCTGTCCCTTTCCTACCTCAGAGGAGTGCTATGAGACTTAATTATGGCTCACAAAATGCTTTCTGAATTTTGTCTCAGAGGGTATGTTAAAGAAAATATTTAAACACAGGCTTGTGTGAGACTGTTGGTAGTACTTGCCTATCAACTCATGCGCTAGAGCAATTTTAGGGGGTGCTGGTTTATCCCTTTTCAGAATATCAAACCTGTTGGTAAGTGGATGGATCAGACATATGATTATTTTATGTTTTGAGGAATAAGGTATCTAAACTCAAAGTGCTGTAACAATCAGTTACAGAGTAACTCAATTACATTTTTACTGTCACCTGCGCAATTGCAAATTGGCAAGCAGCTGAAGACATTTTAATAAAAAATAGTAATCCTAGTGGACAATTCTAATTCTATATTCCTGCAAATAATTTTAAAACAGGGATATGTGATGAGACCAGTTCTCTGGGCTACTGTCCATTTCTATAAATAGAGGAAGGGAGTTCCACATTGCATCTAGTTTGTACACAACCATGTCCTCCAAGAGTAGTGTTTTTAAAGAACGCTAAATGTTTTCACTAATTGCACTCATCCATTAACATAAGATTGGGTCTAATAGCAGGTTTACATTTACTTTTTGTCATGTATTTTTCAATTGCTTGTGACTACTTAAAATTACACACAAAAGCTAAATTAAAAGAGCTTTTAGTTTACAAAATCAAGCATTCAAAAGTCAGGAAATACTAGCATTAAGGTTGCTATTGCATATTTCTGAGGCAAAGATCTTTGCATTCTCCAGTGCATGATAGAAGTGTCCATGGAGATTTCAGCTTTTTCATATTAAAATGAATTCTGCCCATGGTTCAGATGAATGCCTGTATTCCCTGTAATGAGAGAGAGAGGCACCTGAATACTCAGTATGAGGCAGCACTATATATACCTAGCGGCAGAAACTCAGGTGCTAAGGGAACCTTGACCCTGAAAATTTAGCCAATTAGGGCCCAGCTGGTGCTAGAGAAGAGGAGGGGAGACTCTTACTCCAGTTGTGGAGCAGCAATGACCTGTCTACTGGTAAGTTAGTAAGCGTACCTGAAACAGTAGGGCTAGGAAAAGACAGGCAGAGCTGGGGCACTCTGGCCAGGCAAACTCCCAGGCTCTCCAGGCCTGAGGGTACTAGGACTTCAGGGAGGCAGCAGAGCAGCAGGTTCATTCCCTTGCCAATGATGAGTGGCCATTTTGGGCTGCAGCTTGCCCCTAAGACAAGGGCTAAATGATGACTGGCAGTGGGTTACTAAGGCAAGGTGGGTATAGGGGATTGGCATTCCCTAGGAGGGGAGGCTTGCCATAAGGCAGTACTGTTAGGAAGAGGCATCATGGGTTTGGAGGGACACAAGGCCTGAACCAGTGCGGAAGACAGGTAACTGAAGATGAGACACCGGCCAACAGGCCAGTAGGTGCTCTGAGGCTGAAGACCTAATTCCCAAGGAGACCAGCAGGAGGTGCCATGTTGGTGAGTCATGACCCATTACCGACAGATACCTGGTTTTGGCCAAAAAGAAGGTACAGCTGGGACAGTACTGAAAAGAAAGAGTATCCTTGCCAAAATGGGACTTAGGTCTTCTGTGCATTAAGGTAACCATATTAGGCAGGCTATCAGAAAAAGATTTTTAGCTGCTCCTGTTATCTACATTTGAACCAACGAACTGGAGGATCACTTGTATGATTTCTGGAGTCAAAAGGTGAATGCTTGAAAAGTGGCCTGCAGCATGCAGAGGTCAGATTAGATTAACATGATCCCTTCAGACGCATAGACTGTAAATCAGAGTCTCTGATGCAGACTCTACTGCATGAGGAGATCCAGGCCAAAGTAGTGTCAAAGTTTAAATGCTTACTTTGTAGATCAGAAATAACTGCCAATTTTTAAGAAACTAAAAGTTCAGGACACTTTATAACTTGAACTATCAGAGCCTGAGAGAGATTTTTTTTTTTTAAGTGCTTTGTTTCACCCTCTTGCACTCATTCTCACTCAAGGTAAACTATTTCATAACCACTACTTCTCGGTTTTACTTTTTTGGTATTGAGCAAAATATATTTGATTCCCCCTTTACCATTGCATGTATGGGACTTTTCTGGCAGGTTTCCTCTTTCACTGTTGATAGGGAACCTCTGATTTATTTTTAGCTACATTTGAAGATCAGCAGGGAAGGAACAAAGTCAATTAACGGAACACAATACAACATAACATTCTTTTTACATAGCTTCTGTCCTACAAAGTTTCTCCCGAGGTGCTTTCCAGTTCCACAAACAGTATATGCTGTAAACTTAAAACAAGAAGTAGTGGCATAAAAACATAAGACTGTAGGGAGAAAAACAATAATTAACTCAGTAAGGTTCTGACCCAAAGCCCATTGAAGTTAATGGGAATCCCTCAGCTGACTTAAGACAATAGCCATGATGAACTGAAGTGGTTAAGAAGTGTGTGTGCTGGGACTGCTACATCTTTTACCAGATTTAATCATACAA